CATCACATTCTGCTTATGATTACATTTATACCATTGGATATTTATTGTTATGGGCTATCATCTTAGATATGTGTGCAAATGCTAATGAAGACTTGCTACATATGTATACTGAAATACTCAATACTTTTTTACTTCTTTTCAATTAAAGCGAAACTCTAACTCAAAATAAACTCTGACTTCTTTTAGTCAGTATTAAAATTTCAGTATTTAAAACTAATACATATCTATTTCAGAGATAACGTCTTTACTAATTTATTAAATAACATATCCCGACTTTTGCCAATGGAGTTACTTCGAGATAATATAAACAAGGATGTTAAATCAGTGGAATTATTTTCTACTGAACCATCTCTAAATTTTAGCGGTATGATCAATTAAATTACTTTCTTTTCTATTACATATAACTTTGTTTTTAATATTTGTCCATTTATGACATTTTACAGAATGTTGGACAGAATGGAGGTTAGACCATATTGTATGTTGGATGTACACAAAAAGTTTGAGGTATTTACCAATGTTGGTAAGACAATGGTGGAGCACTGCTGGCAGTAAGGTCAGTGTTGCCATAGATAAGATCACAACTCATTACATCAGCCCTATGCTTCGTCGAGAGGAACTTCTTAAGAATAAATTACACGACATTGAAAATATACAAGTGAAAGTACATCCAGCATTCCGTGAAGTGATAGCCTCGTATCAAATAGGTGATACAAAATTGGAACTTAATATTATGTTGTCACCCAATCATCTATTAGAACCAACTACTGTTGAGTGTGAACAATACGCAGGTGGAGCAAATTTGAGGAATTGTCACATTCAGTTGTCTGTATTTCCGGCACACCAAGTAATAATTTATCAATTTAATTATATCTATATATGAATTAAATAATTAAGGAAATATTTTATTCCCTTTTTATAGAATAAATCAATATATAGTGGACTTGTATCACGGAAAAGGAGTTTGGATAAAAAAATTCGTTGGTGTATAGGAATGTTGCATATGTCGTAGTATTTTCCTCACATATCAAATACCAAAATCCTCATAAGTGCCGCAAGAAATTTCATACTGTATGTTTGGTGAGTTTAGTGTATTCTCTGTAATATACATATAATGAAATTTTGTACAATTAGTACCTCTTCCCTTTCAGCATAAATAATTTAACACAAATAAAAAATCCACGTGTCCGATATGTAGGACATTTTAATTTGTTATACTATTTACATTAAGAATTTCTATTTTTTTTATTTGACTTGATAAATATTTGATAAAATAATTTGACTATAGAAATTTTGAATATAACATAAATAATATAACATAATAAAATTTGTCTGTACATGTATTAAACTTATGGGCATTTCTTGTATGTAGAAAATTTACTTGTACTTAATAAAAATTTGTCTGTACATATATTAGATTTACGGTCATTTCTTGTATAGAATGGTAAATTTATCTGTACATAATTAAGTTGTAAAATAGTAAAATTTATCTAGATTTACGACCATTTTTTGTGTACCATATCTTTTGGTATTATTTCTACGTCATACTGACGTTCGTAGAGATAAATATAGAACTTGAAAATTAGGAAATTAGAAATTTGAGAAAATATTCGTATTATTTTATTAATAAAGGTCAGCAAAAATTACCAAGAGAAGATCGTAAATTTTTTTTTATTTTTGCTCATAGAGCAAATGAACGAAACTCGAAACCTAGTGTTGACGAAAGAATGTTTTATAAATTTTTATAAGAACCAATTTTATATAAATTGTACAAATTTTCCGCCCACCTGCATACATTTTTTGTAAATTATGTACAGAAGTAGCAATAAATTCAAATTTATAATAAATTTCTAGATCTATGTTTTTGAATACCTTTCATTAGTTAGTTAAGAATTATTCTCTATTCACAATCTCTATCCATTATTTTATTCACAATTCATTATCTTTGGAAATATATAACATTTTTTAATTCTATTTTTCAATTGTACATTCATTTTAATAGATTGAAAGATTTACAAATTTTAAGTCTATATCGCTTTCAACAAGCAATAAAAGTATGCACTCGGAATTTTAAAGTATTGAATAAAATAATTAAAAGTACTTCCTCGCGTATGGGCGCTAGACTACACCTTTCATTTCGTTTTCTCTTATCAGCCGGGAAATTGAATTTCAGAAATGTCTTATTGATGAATGCACAATTGTCTATAACGTTGTACATAATCCATGTTTTATATACATAAATATTTTGTAATATACTTGCTTCTTTTATATTTTTCTGAGTACATCATGCTTAAGTACTTACAAAAACAAAAAAATTCTATAGCCATAACAAGCAAATTTCTTTTTTATTAGACATTTAATGCAGTAGACATATAAATTCGACAAGAAAAGATCACTTACAACTAAATAAGATTGTTTTGCTCAAAGCTTACAAGTGGCTTAATGGAAGCGCAGGACAAAATATCGGTCACAATCGTGAGGAAAACGATTTTGAAATAAGCAAAACATAAAGTAAGTAAAACGTAAAAAAATAGTTCATCCTTTCATTAGAATCGTTCATTCTTTCAGAAATGAGCGAGTAAAAAGTGAAAATTTACATCCATTAAAATCATTCAATTTGTTCTTTTTTTTTTATAAATAATTCATCATTAATAACGAATCATTTAGGATAATGAAAATCAAATCAATCCAGCATTGATTAGTAAAATAAATCTTAATGATTATCTTTAAAAGGACATCAATCAAATCTTAGAATATTTAAATATTAATTATAAAGTAAATTTTACTGAGCATAACATTCAACTTTGAAAGATATTAATGTTTTAACTCGAACGAAAAAGAGTTTTTAACGACAAGACAATACGATTGATTGAAAAAATTACCGCGTCACACCTAGTGGAAACGGATTCCTTCTAGAATCTAATCTTTTTTATCGGTGAGAAGGCAATTACCTGTGTCTGTTTTTAATTTTTTATTGCAGGAACTAACGGATTAAAATTACGTTCAAAAAATATTCTCTTAAGTGGTTTCGCCCTTCTGTTATTACGCGAAACATTTTCCAGTTAATAATGTTATTAGAAACGAAATGCAAATAGGAATGCGTAATGTCACAACTTGTCTCTTTTTGTTCCGTTATACAATTTGTACGCATGCGAGAATTAATAATACTACTCATGACATCATAATAAACCATGTGAGTTTTAGCATTTTACATAGACAGAAAATACCCAGAAGTTAACTAAAATGTTCTACTTTGTAACAAAGTGAAGTCAAGCCTGGAATAAGTATAAATATAATACATAGACCAAGGGAATTTTGGTATAAATTGGCACATTATGTTTCTGCAGGGTGAGTGATGGTAGAAATTTTAAGGTCAAATGAAGTGGAATCTTATGCTTTTCTTTATGATATTCGTTGAGACAAACTCAACGACTCATGTATGATATTATTTATTTTTGGGAACGTTTGGGTGCTAGTGCTAAGTGAAATGATTGTTAGACTCGTACTATCGGTTTACACTTTTATTCGATAAGTTACAAGAGATAGTGCGAAGTTCGTACGAGATAGTACGGTGCGGTGAATGTCTCGATTCGGGGCGTATCGTGGAGTCTCTTATTCGTACTCTTTGACGGCCGGAATTTCTCTCCTTTTTCCGAAGCTTTTTCGCTCCGGTCCCCGTCTCGAAAATCCCTAATTAGCTAAACCGTTTTTGAGTTTTGACCAATTGGGTTGTCACGAAATTGCGCTGCCTACTCCTTACGTTCGTGGCGCATTTTCTCCGGGAGTGGGACTGCAATTTCACCGGGACCAATTTCCCCGAATTGTGGCGGTGTAGCAGGGTTTCCTCTGGGCCTCACTCACTTTCTCCAAATGTTTTCCAAATGTTGATCTGGGTGGCCCTTAGGAATCCAAAGTTTACGACGCTTCGCAGAAATGCTATTGAGGCTGTATTTCTAAAACTATAAGTGCGGACGTCCGGTCTTACGCAGTGTAAAACTAACTTGGCCTTCGCAATTCAATAGCGCAGGTGACACGTGAGTCGTAAATTCTCCTAACTTCTTGTCTGAGAAAACGTCTTTCTCTGACATCTGCTAGCCGCTACATCATCCCATTGCCAATGTAAACGTTACTATTCTAGACTTCTTATTATTATTTACAACTATTTACAAAAAAAATTTTTACATTGTGTTCAGCGTACCTGAAGGCGGTCTGAGAACCTGATTCGACGGCCTGATCGCGTATACACTTGCATTTGCGTATTTCGAATTGTGGATTCGCGCGGTATGCGTGATCGTACCTCTTCTTGCGTATGTCCGTCGTTCTTTTCTTCGACATCTGCTAGCCGCTACATATTGTTTAAGAATACCTAAAATTGCGTTCTAAATTAGTGTGCAAATGCCGTTATATATTAGTTAACTATGTCTGAATTAAGTCTCACGGCTATAATATTTATAACAGAATGGCACACAATTAATTAAGATTTGGATTTCAGTAGTTGAGATCTACTTGCAAAATAAAGACAACTAATTGTTAACTACTTTACAATTTCACAGAGCAAGATAAGATTTTCCATTCGATATTTTTCTAACGTAAAAATGTGTGTAAGCTCTTTTTGTCACACTTATATATATTTTCTTCTGATTAACCGAATCTTAAATCGATTCATAGCACAACGAATTTCTAACAATGTATTTAAAGGGACATAGATTTCATATTTCCTATTCAAAGCATACTTGCTAAAATGCATTTTAACAGGATTTTGTCACGTCTATTACTGTAGCCAGGAAACGAAAATATAAAAAACTTGATATTTTGAATTTAAAATCAAGCTGTTAATAAAAAAAATTTGTAATAAACCTTTTATTTCTTAAATTTTTTTAAACTCTTAAAAGAATTTATTTTTAATTCTTTTAAATTATTTTTATTATTATTTTTAATAAAGCTTCTTATTTCTTGAAATATATATTATTTATTTAGAACTGTAGGAGTCGCGGATGTCATCCTTCTGTTGTTTGCGTGCCGTGGTGTTCGTCTATATTCGTTCGTCTGTGAGATGGGATGTCGGTGAGGTAGGTCGGACGTTGAGGAAGGCGGTTCATCTCAGAGTCGTCACCAGACGTGGTAGTGGGACTGACGGTGGCAACCCCTACCAGACGCATTTTTGGTTGGTTAGGGTTTCTATAGACTGGGCCTGGAAATGGTCACCCATCTTAGAGCTGATCCGCACGCCGGGCACTTAACCTGGTGATCGCCATCGATCCATAGGTGCGCTGCGTCCACTTGCGATTAGTGATTTTGTATCTTTATATGGAGTACTATAGCCGCTACAGAACAATATGCATAACAATTAAAAAACAATATACAATTAAAAGCAATATACATAACAATTAAAAAAATAAATAATACAACAAAGGGCGATAGGAAGAACGTATAAACTATGTATAAATTGACTACTTCCTCACCGAAGATGTTTGAATATATTTCGTACTTTGGTATCAGGTAATGTCGGACTTTATTTGCTAGAGGAAAGGATTGTTCGGTCAGTTTCTAAATCAATTTCTAAATGAGGGATCTTAGGGATCGTCGAAATCTGTGATTAATTTATAAGTACACTGGCAGTTAATTTATAAGTATATACTCAGATAGAGACAATTAGAAGAAAATAGGAACGAACAATAAATTTTGAACTCATAAAATAATTCGTATCATTTTTATTAACAATTCAAGAAATAAATGATTTCGGTCGTTGCAAGTGCAATTCAGTGAATTAGTCTTAACATAAATAACATCGTAATATGAAAAAGAAAATATATGTATGTATCGTATCATTTAAGAAAATAAATTTGACTTTGAAATTTCGGACGATTTGCAAAAAATAATTTACAGCACACAATATGTTCCTTTATCCCAAACAATATTTGCAGAAATATTTTTTTGATAAGTTCAATTTTTCATAAAATCGAGGGATAAAGTTAAGGAATAAGTTACTCGCTCGCCATGCATCTTCCGTATTTCTCGCGAAGAAGA